TAAACTTTCGCACACATAGACTTGAATATTTATCAGTTTGAAATTTTCTGTGAAAACAACGGACTAAATATAGTAAGTCTATGATCACAATGTCTACATGTAACACGTCTTTATTTCCGAATTTCTTTGTTTTCACTAATTGCTATTTAACACCAGTAAAATATATTATTCCTATTTTGGTGCCACTACAAATTACATCTTGCAAATGTACCATTGGACATTGGAAAAGTAAAAATATTATCACAATCTACTTAACTTCTTTCATAGTAATGAGTAAACAAATCAACAAAACTAAATTTGAAGAATTCAAAATTAATCAAATCCCCAGATAGAGTATCCCTCTGTGGATATTTCTACCGACAGATGTGGAATATCAGATTGATGCGAGTCGACGGAGCGATCTAGCCTACCTGACCTGGCGAACCTTAACGTGGGCAAGGCATAAATCATCGCGAAAATAATAAGGGAGGGCAAAAAACTGCGAGTTCAATCGTATTTGGGCAAAACAAAGTCTGCCCGAGCCGCTGCTGTCCAAATAGAAAAGAAAATCAATCGGGTTTCGGTTCGTTTTGGCCCATCGGCGCGGCGCTCTCGTAATGTATTTTCCACAGGCTAATCGTGTTCAGTTTTGTATTTAGGTTTGACTGCTTTCAATTTGAATCTATGTATTTAGCTGTTGTTGGAAATGGGTGTTGCTTGTATAAAATTATAATAAAGTACTATCTCGAAAAAGCCTTGTATGTATAACCAATCTGAGCATCATTTACCATCTCCATCAACGTGGCTTCTGGGACATATGTTTTTTGTGCTTCCGGGAACCAAAGGCTTTAAAATCGTGAAACTACAAACATGTTTACCAATCGTCATAAGAATAAACAGATCAATACAATAACAGCGTACACTTAACAAAGTGCAATTTCAAAGGTGATTAGAAGTTTACTAAAACAAGGTATGAAACGAAAGATAATATTTTAAAGCACAATAATCCAACCCAACCGTAGCATTTAACGTTAACATTAATGTTAATTTTCCAAGTTACAAAGACATTTTGAAACACTCAGGGAGTGAAACAGCATGCAAGAGATGACTGCTCGGATCAATACAGCCATATTAAAAACACAAGAGTCCCTAATCTTAGCCGGAGTTCCCTAGGGGTCGCTATATATGCTAATGCTGCTGTTAGCTGTTCTAATCCCGACATTGCCACCCTGCTTGTTGCGCTAACTGATTTCATTGTTACGCTTTCTTTACTACCTTGGCAAAGTTTGTTGCTCGTGGAATTGCGAGAAATTCTAAAGGGATTTTAAAATATGGTTTTGGAAAAGCAGTAGAGGGAGCAGAAACGCGTGAAAATCTACACACTTTGTAAATTATTACAACATTCGTTGTTGGTTTGTTTTTTGGGAAGTATTATTCATGACTGCATTTTTGTTAGATTTAATTTATCTGTAACAATTCTAATTTGGTCCAACCGTAAATATTTTGTATCTGAAGTGATTTGACTTTTTGTATAGTAATTATTTATTACCTACGCTGTACGTTATTCATTCCCATATCTTTGTCTATGTTAAAATCGTACGAAGCCGTAAGATGGTGTTAAGATCGTATATTAAACAACAATGTTTACGTTGGACCAAATAATTGTAAAATATTCCTGAGTATTTTAAGATTTCTATTTACGTTTTGGCTTACAAAATAATAGAGCATTTATATATAAAAAAATAACTCAACAAAAATAAATTTGAAAGTTAACGTAAATGTATTTATGCTATAGGCCTAATAAAATAATGTATGAAAAGCTATAACCAGATATTTTTTATTTACCCTGGGACATAGTAATTTGCATAATTATAAGTACAATCTTTCCTATAAATTTTAAGTTCTTTATTACTCAAATTAATAAGCTGTATTGTAACCCTACTTTACACAAAATATAAATCTAGCATTTCATCCACAACATAGGCCTACTCGTAGTTTTTGTAAACCCCTGATTCTTGTTAATTTAAAGAAAAAACTAGACAACTAGAAATACAAATTTTGAAAGCTACCTATCAATTTAAAATCGAGCTGTTTACGATGGAATATTAGGAAAGCCGTATGAAACAGTATGGGTCCTAAAACAGATCCCTGAGGGACACCGTCTACAATGACTGTATCTGGGTGCGATTCGCCACATTCTACAAGGACGCATCATTATGCTGGTCGCAGTACTCTCTGGACACAGGGAATAAGGTTGAAGGAATTAGACCATTCTATAGTAGGCCTATAACTATTATTGTGCTTTTATGCCGGTGTTTAGGCTTTATCTAAACGACTCTAGGATCTGTATTTTAAATACACTCGCACCTATTTTTCGTGTAACTTTTTGGATGTCAGTGAAATATTCACTTAGCCTACATCCAAAGCAGGAATTGTATAAGTTTTATTTAGATTCATCTTGTAAGAATTTTTGTTTGTTATTCATGTGTTTACACTATCCTACTAACTTGTAATTTAATTAGTTTTATGAAGTAAAAACTATCTCGAACTCGTTTTAAGACCTCGATTGGTGCTCCCGTTTTTCATCATTGTTTTTTTTATTTTTCCTTGTTTTCATAGCTTATCCTTTCTTTTTTTCAAGCCGTAACTAAACCAGGATGGTTATGTTATACTGTAGAATTATTTAAAAAGAGATCGATATACTAAGATATACAAACAGGAATATCCCATACCCATTATATTTGTATAACGTGTAAATGATGTAGGCAACACATCTATTTATTTACATTTTCCCGGTGTACGATACAAAATATCTTTGTACGTTGTAACTTGTTAGTTGTTCTTGTAACTGGTACAAAAGGGAATAATTGCTTTCGCGTGTATTGCTCGTTATTTCTTGTGAATTAATAGTGAAAACCATACAAACATTTCATGATATGACTACAATTTTAATAAAAACAGATTGCATTATTTAGGTATTTTTTATTCCCTGTTCTAAGAAAACGAATTTGTAAATATAATTTTCTTATGGGTTTTCTATGTTACATTTTCTTGACATAAAATTATAACTTTTTACGTAAATGCCGGTCGAAAAAATGTTGTATGCACAAAGCATGAAGTCATAAATTAAAGTTTCATTATAGGCCTATACCTTTGATAATGTAATAGCAACTTAAACATTATTCAATTCATTCAATTACGGAACTTGGATTGTTACAGTACATAGCAACTCCGATAAACTCAGTGTTAATGAATTGTAATGTTTCAGCAACCGATTACTGTATAAAGAAATTAGGCAATTATGTAAGTCACTGATACAACGAAATTATTAGAATAGCCTTAAGGCTTGTACCATCTCGGGTGTCTAAAGAGAGTATTCATCCCCAAAACGGTGTTAGCGCCTGTGTAGGCTAATATAGTAGTGAAAATACGAATTAGGCCTACATGTTCTAAATTCAAAATAGAGAAAAGGAACAGGATTGAAAAACACATTTGTTAAATTCAGCATCTTTAACTCAAAACCGATGACAACCACTCAAAATCTCCAATCAGTCCATATTCTCCGGGTAATTATAGGGTACATCTCTTAGAAAGAGGCGACCTTCCACTAAATCACAAGGGAGGCTAGGCCCAATCGGACAAATAGGCCGTAATTAAAAGGGTTTTCAGTGGCGAGGGGCAGTTTTGACAACTGCAGTTAATGCGGGGGAGGTTAGGCTAGGGGATCCGGTTACCCGACCTGTGGTTAAACTATCTGACCCTACAGATTTGGAGGGTTTCTTCAACCACTAATTTGATGTTTATTTGTTCACTTTGGTGGTGGTCGATTTTGGATTTTTCATGTACTTAGGCTATGCTTTCTACTTTTAAACTTATGTGAATTTAATGAGTTAAGTTTTGTCAAGAGTTCCAATTAGTTTCAACCATTGGAAATCAAATTACTAACCGCTAAACACAACAACGTAATATCAAAAACAACATTTTTTGCCATACAAAAAACCACACATGCTAAAAAAAGACATACCTATGTATATGTATCATTTTGTTATGTTACCTTGGTTTACTTATATCTTTATTTGGTTATCATTGGTCCGTTGATGTTTATTTGTTCATTTTGTTGACAAATTTGGAATTTTTTGGATACCTAGGTTATGTTCTATTTTGTTGTGAATTCAATGTGTTGCTTTTTCTTGTGTTTTGGATATTGTTTCAATGGTGGTTCACAAGAATGCGTTTGTTTTCTTTGGATTCCTACAAGATTAGTTTTTTGAATACCTGAAAAACTATTATTTTAATTCATTGTTTTATCGTTTGGTTTATTTAATTTTGTTGGTCACTTTCAATGGTAGTTCACAAGAATGCGTTTCTTTTCTTTGGATTCCTACAAGATTAGTTGTTCGAATACCTGGAAAACAATTTTTTTTTTATTCTTTGTTTTATTGTTTGGCTTATTTAATTTTGTTGGCCACTTTCTTGTTATTAGAACATTTTTTGAGAGATATTGGTTTTATGTTCTGAGGGTTTTAAACCTATACATAATATAGGCCGCCAACTTTACTTATTATTGCTCGAGGAGTTATATGTTTGTTGTTTCCCATACTTTTGATAAAGGTAAATGGCAATATTATTAATGCTAATTTGTAAGCTTCTCATGTGGTTTACTCTAGACCCACAGTTTAACAAATTTACAGACTAATAATGTTCTTATGTGGGACAATTTTTGTTGTTCTTGTTTCTATGCCTTTTAACGATGCAATTAAACTAATTATTAGAACTGTCCGTAGTTTTAATACAAACTAAATTCACGCCTAAATTTCGTAGCTAAAATCTACTGCTAAGAAACTTTAGACTGCCATCCATCACTAAAATCCACATGTGTATAGATCAAGTAGGTCAACCGCTAGGGATTTGGTTACATATTATTTATCGTCCTCCGCCCTACACTAGGTCTTATCACTTATCACCGGCACCGGCACCGCGCGACGCGGACGTGCAGACTGCTAGTGCCTAGACAGACTTACCTGGCAGTAGTGCAGTCGCGGTAGAGGATATCAAAATCCTTGCAGGACAGCAGCTTGCAGCGGTTGACTCCTGGTTGTATGGCACCCAGGCCTCGCAGGATGCGCACCTGCTCCACGTTGCAGACGAGAGGCACGATGTCCAGGCGCTTCAGCTTGGTGTAGACGGTGTGCAGACCTCCGACCAGGTGCTTCAGGAAAAGTTCGAACGCCTGGGGGAGGCAGAGCATGGTGTCTCCGCCGATGATGAAGGCTGCGACCTTCTGTCCGCGGTAGTCCACCAGTTTACACTCGTTGGCCGTCGGGTCGGAGCTGGATATCGGCGGCGGACTGTTGTAGGACCGCGGGGGTGCGTGGTGGTGTGCCACTGCCATCAAGTCCAGGGGTGAGTGGTGGACCATGCCGCCTAGAGAGTTGAGCAGTCCCAGACCCGGTGGTGGCAGACCCATGCCCAGACGCGGGGCCATGCTGACGATGCTACTAGGCGTGCTGACCGCCGGAGGACTCATCTGCTGAGATACCGGATGCTGCCCCGGGTTGCTGGAAGGTCTCATGTTGGCCGGACTCTCCGGATGATTGTTGTTGGTCGGCGGCGGTGTCATCGACGGCTTGATAGGCGAACTCACGTTGCTGCTTCGGTCGCTGTTGCTCGGGGACGAATCCATCACGGATTCCATGCTCATTCTAAGAGCCGGACGCACATGCCAGTCCGACGGGGGCGGAACTGCGCAGTCACAACTAAAACACTCGCGATTCTCAATCTGTCTCCCCCTCCGATCCTCGCACTCGAATGACAACTCGCGGAACAGCTCGGGACGTCGTTCCCCAGCCGGACACGAATGTGTAATAAATAAAAACGTATTTTTGTGCCGGTCCCCCCACCACCAGGGGGCGGGTGAGGTGTGCGCGCGCAGCTATTACGCGATTGGTCCGTTCTCCACCCCCCACCTCCCGTCTGGCCCGCCCCGCACCTTCCTTCCGTGGTGAAAAAAACTTTTTACTCGTACGTCCGAGGACGCCACGCCTTCTTGGGAATTATACATCGAAATAAAACCCATTCTCCTCCCGGCTTGAATTATCGCAACGACATTTCCCTCCTTTCCTCGCCGCGTCTCTTCCTCTCGTATTATTACCGCGTCTATCCGGCCGCATTTATCACAAGCCGGCTGGCGTGTTGCTAACAACCCTTTTTCCTCGGATCTAGATTTTACTTTTCTCCACTCCGATTTGACAAAAGTTGATCTATATGCAAATGACACTTTAACGTGCACTTACGGTGGCCGCTGCTCCCGAGAATAAATATCCCGACAGATCTTATACCAGATTGGCCGATGTGTGTTTTCTACTGCGCGTTCGCCTGCCTGTGTTTATTTCTTGTATATTACCCAATTTAGTCCAAATGTGATAATTTTGTAGAATTGCTGATACTATCACCGCTACGTTTGTTTTTAAACCAGTGTTTTGTCGTCATGCGACAACTTTGGATTTTTGTAGAGTATAGCGCAGGGCCTACATCAACCGATTACTTCTGATGGCCTTATATTTAACTACAAAATAATTAATAAGCAATAATTGATAACTCTGTAACTGTAACTTCAATTATAAATCGTTAGTCTTTTTTATAAAAATATTAATCCTGTAAATTTTGATTTTATATTGGTTTTTATTACGATAAACTCGATGGTTAGTAGTTCCTGTTAAAACGAAACCTTCTTTCATAAACATGTAATTAATCAATTAATTATAAAAAATTAACAATAAAATTTCTTTTTATTTAACCTATTTTTTATTATTTTTTTATATTAGTTATTTATTTATTTTATTTATATTTGTTTATTCATTTATTTTTGTTTTGTTTATTTATTTTATATTTCATTGCAAGATATCCTTCAACATTGCTTCATTTTATTTCACTTGTCATTAGTAGGTTGTGTGTATAAAAAGTACAAATTATGTCTACTACGGAATCATATATTGGTTTAATCTGTTTTTGATTAAAACATAGATGCAGCCATACTTTAAACACAGTGTTATACTTAACATTGAGGGATTGAGGGCGTCATACCAGACACTTTGAGTACACACCACCACCCAGCAAAGGATGACAATATGTATGTAAAATGAGTTAGAAAATGGAAGAAAAGGAAGATATCTTTACATCAATACTTCTGAATACAAACAATACAACAGACTTTGACTAGCTTTGCATATATAGGCCTACTATAGACAATCCAAAATAGTTATTTTATTGATTTGAGGTTCCAAAGCATATACTGATTGTTCATCCACTGCGACTCTAAACGCAGACCAGTAGCTCTTTTTACCCTCACATTGGTTGTTTAACCTTTTGTTTCCACATTTAAACTGACATTTAAGAGAAACATATCCTATTTATGTTACATTCTTAAAATACATTATTTTCCAAAAATATCTTCAAAACGCTTTCAAACGGATCCATTTACATTCTAAAACTGTCACCTACATTATTTGCCGTTCTACAGAGTACTTCCTTCCTATTGTTCATCATAATGTCTACAGAAGTTATTGTTATCTTGTACTATTGTTATCTGTTTATTTAGGTATTAGATAGTAAAATATGCTCAAAATAATTTCTACTTATACTACATATCGTACCTAAGTAAGTGTGAACTGTATACTGGTTCATAGGAGATCAGAAATCAAATCTTCACTGCTTGTTGTAAGGTGGAAGTTGGTGGAAGTGCTCTGCGTTAAAACTATTGCTGCAAGCTGCAAGAAAAATACGTTTGTTAAAAAAAAAAACTATACTATGTCGAAGAATTGCCATGCATTGTGGTTTCGGATATTATTATAGATAGAGGATTGTTTTTCGTTTTTTTTATTAGGATGTTTGTGTATGACAAAAAAATATAAAACAATATATAAACACACGGAAAAATTAAAATATTGTGATGGGAGATTTCCAGTGTTTTTTATTATTCATTAAATACACTTATATAGATTCCAATCAACTCACAGTATTTAATTTCCTTTTTGGCTTTAATAAAATTAACATACTTGTTTTTGTCTCCTAAAAAGTACTGATGTTGTGCGCAAAACAGCTTTTCTGATTTTCTAAACAATTACCAATAAATAAAGAAAACAGTAAACATGACCTAAAGGGGGCCTAAAAACTAATATATATATATAACAAGCAAATTGTAGAAGGAAGTCAGAAAAAAATAACTAATAAATGGGACAATTGACGGTGTGATGTTGGTAGTATCTTGATAGTTAAATTAAGTTTTAAAGTGGTTGGTTAAGTAATTACTATCTTAGAAAACTTAATTAATTAACCAATTTGCTCATAAACTGTTCAAAACAGTAAGTCCGGTCGATTTTGACGAAATATGGATTTAATATACCGACAATGTATCAATGGCTAGAAGATGTATAGGCCTACATATATAAAAATGTTTAGGATTGAAATATAGAATACAAAATGTAAAGCATCGAAATGAATGCTATTAGAGTTTTTTAACAAGTCTTGATTAAAATACTTGTTCTGTAATTGTAATACGGAGAAGTAGGTACTTTTTCGCCGTAAAAAAATAACGTTGACACGAAAAAACAATTGATTTAACAATGAACTTCCTAAATAATTTATTATAAAGTATAGTTAATTCCTTACAATCTACTCAGTCCATTATGTGGTGAATAACACCAAAATACACATCCTCCTTAAGAATGTTTAAAAATATTCCTCCACAAATAATTACGAAACCACAAGTTTTCATTCTGTAACAACTTACCACTAGTAGTTTCACCTCAATATGGAAGTGCTACAATTACCTATGGTGACTTATTACAAGGTCTATAAACTTATTAAAATAAAACAGGAATTGCATCAAGGTATCACGTAACAGTTTGGCTAATTAATTCAAATGCTAATAATTAGGTGCAATTATTGCGACAGTTAGCCCGCCCTTTACTGGTACATCGGGATATAATATTTATTATTTATTCATTACCTGTTTTATTTACATGGTTTCATGTTATCTTTCTTGTTCCTTACACACAGCCTTGTTAACTTGACTGTATCTACATGTTCACTTGGGTGTGATTTTTACTTCCTGTGCGTTGTAAAATAATCTACTTTCGCCATTAGCATGAAATGTGTAATTAGTTGTTTTCATTCATTCATTTTATAGTTATTTTCTCTTGTACATTGCCTATCTAAAGGTAGGAGAACTTAAAAAGTTTTATTTCCATATTATTGAATTTTTCACAGCTGTAAAATAATTTCTGTTTTATACATTTAGTTGAATTTGATAAAACACGGACATACACACTAAACACGGTAGCATTACAAATATAACAAAAATATTAATTTACATTCAGGTAGCAATGAAAAATGTATTAAAATAAATATCTCAGTTGCTGAAACGTTTATTAAGTGCATTTACCTATGACTAATGAATGAAACTTCACAATGAAGTTCACAATAAAAGGCAAACTTGGACGTACCACACTCAGTATAATTAAATTTGGAATAAATAATAAAAAATTCTAAAATAAATAATAAAATAAAATAATAAAATAAAAATAATAAAAATATAATTGGCATAATATGCTATTTTGTAGCATTGTTGTAAAATAAAATAAATACTGAGATTTTCTGCTACAGGAATATTAAATTGTCATTTTAATTTAATGTTATATCTGTAGGTAACTCAATCGAACTACGATCATTTTTTTTCTAAATTTGCTTACAACTCTAATTTAGGAATATAATTCCTAGTTCTATCTCTAGTAAAAATTCATACACTCATTTACTATGCAATATTTAACAAATATTATTTGTTTAAATACATTTAAATTATGAGAAACCTCTAAATTCCATACGGACAATATTATGTGAGTAAACATAATGCGTTTAAAATTTGTGAAAAATTAAATCCCGTAACATATTATTAATTTGTTATTAATTTTTAACTACATTATTCCTAAATGAATGTTTTTTTCCATTTGCACGCACAATTGGAGAAATTGTAAATATGAACTATTGTATGAAAAAAATCCTAATATTAAAAAAATAACTCCTATAATTTTATCTGTACTAAACACAACAGCCTTATTTGTTTTTCTCCTCAACGGATTGATATCTCATGAATTGTCAAAATCTTTAATAACAACATAAAAATGGAGTTTATAACAAAAACATATTTATGGATTGGTCTCTGGATCGACAAAAAGAAAAAATAAATATTTAAGTATGTGTTACCGTCGGGACAATCCATTATATTAGAATTCTTACAAACATTTTCATTTACATGTTTGTCAGTCACTTAAACTTACCTATTTTATTACAAATACTCGTACATCTCTAAAAAAAATAATTATTGAGTTTTGAAAAATAATTTTGATACATCAAGATTGAACCTGTTTCAGAGCCGGACCAGTTGACTCTGTGTGAGCGAAGCGTTGGCGTTCATTCATACAAGAACCAGTTAACCCTGTACTGACCTGCCTCAATCTCGTATATCGACCTGTGGACGTCAGAGCTACCTGTCGGACAAACCGTGAACTAGCTGAGCCGTGCGCCACTGGTAAACACAGTACGTTGTTTTGTCCTTCCTATTCTATATCTTGCTTATCTGTAGTAGGTGGTAGCATAGGCTGCCCATGCTTTACAACATGATCAGAGATAGCCTAACAATTATAGATGCTTAATAAATTATTACAGTAATTTTATAATCTAAAATCTATATACCGTACGTACTGTAATCATCTTTAAATGGCTATGTTGGCCAGAAAAGGGCCGGAAAGGTCCTATTAATTAAATAAGTCATGGATTGACATATTCCCTTATATATGTATTTATCATCCGTATGGAACAGCTAAAGACAATGTTATGGGATCTTTTCCGTTGATTCACTACCACTATGTTTTTAACTTCCTCCCCTTATACATAAGAATACGGAGGATGTATTATTTTCGTTATATTTTTGAGTTTGAGTTTTGGGTGGATATATCCGTGTTGGGTCCCCTTGTACCCAAAAGTGGTTTTCGAATTGATGTCTGAGTGAGCGTGGATGTGTGGATGTGTACAGAGCTACGAACTAAACATATCGTCCGATTTTGATGACATTTGGTATGGTACTTCTTCATAATATATCTAGGTAATTTTCATTTTTTGATTTTTTTTGTTTTTAATGGTGATTTTCCAATAAACCAAATAAAATAACGGAATTTATAAAAATGCCCAAACTATTTTCATTAAAATGTTGTATGTTATGGCCTTATAAAACTAAATAAAATGGTACGACCCCAAATTTTGTAAAAATTACGATTC